GCACCATTGCGTTTAACCATGGTCGTCACGGGGACAGAGAGATTATCAACACGTTTATACTACGAATAGTACGTTCATACGTACGTTTAGGAAATATTTGTACCTTTGCGACGAGTTTCGGGGAGTTATCTGAATATCATCGCGTCAGCTGGGTCAGATAATCCTCACCAAATAAGAGAATGTGGTGCAATGTGTGCTGAATACTTATTCTAATATATTCTCGTTACAGTTACATGTACTAAGACACGAAAATCTGAATGTTTTTATTGGAGCGGTGCCCGAAGGGGAACACGCGTGCACATTAATGCAGTATTGTGCACGGGGAAGTTTGATGGTAATTACTAATAATTATAAACGAATTTTCATAAAATTATAAAAAGGTTTTTTACGCAATGGCCAACTGAATTATATATATTTTAGGAGAGACATGATTTGTAGGAGGGGGTTGCACTTTTGAGAACAACCAATATAATTTTGAAAAAATTGAGTTGCCATGGTGATAGGAATTACGGGTGTTTTTTTTCTTATTGACAGATAAATTGACATACTGTGATTGAAATAAAAAGCACAGACATACTCATCCATTAATCCGAAATCAATAGTTGTATAGGGATTTCAACAAAATAGAATGAACATATAACAATATATATGGGACAAGGTACATGAGGAAAGAACCAATCGATTATATATAAAGACGGGATGTTTTGAAAAATTCTTCACCATTGCGAGTTAACAGGGCTAAAAGTTTCAAAAAGACAAACTTCCTTGAGGCTTTAAATGGGGGTTCACCTTTTAGACAAGAACCAATAGATTTTTGGAGAGATCTAGACAGGAGTATTTGCGATTCTTCACAATTGCCAGATAAGATCATTGTCTTGCGAATTTGAATTTGAGATAAAGACTAATCAATTATATTTTGGCAAAGATGTGGATCCTGTTGCCACGGAAACATGGGCTTTTTGGAAAGATGTGCCATCTTCACCAGATAACCCAATTATGGTCAAATTCGTGATATTAGGAGTTGCCGTTGAGACATTAAACAAACAAACAAACAAATAGTTAGAATTATCTGCTTATTTTCGTTCATTGCTTGTTTCCTAGGATATTATCGCAAATGAAGACATAAACATTGACGTCATGTTTAAAATATCATTCACCACAGACATCATAAAGGTAAATCATTAGCCGTGGTGTTAAATAAAGTCACCTGGCTGAATAGGGAGAAAATATATTTTTAAAATTTCGATTTCAATGTGAAAATAAAATAGAAAGAAATCCAAAGTACATGTATACGCAGCCTCACGCCATCATGTCAAAGTGTTTAACTTGGATGTCCGTAAGAATCATACAATGAGCGCCTAGGATTGATGTTTGGGTTGTCTTATTAATCATATTTTTCAAATTGACACTCTACAATCAATGCCTAGAATCGATATTTGTTATATTAATCGTAGGGTAAAATATGAACAATAGAAAGTTATACAGCACGTGGGAATCCTCTATATTCACGATGATTGACTTATGATGACTATAACCACGGCAATGCGAACATTCTAAGATCTGCAGTGCCCGGCTGGGAGTGTACGTTTTACCCACTATATTCGTGAATATTTACCTACTAGTATATTGAAAACGTGTACATAAACTTGTTATGTCGCCACTTGTTTTGTTTATTATAATATAAATGGCTTATTTTAGGGAATGGAGTATCTTCACAAGAGCAGTGTCCGTTCGCATGGATATTTGAAATCCAGTAATTGTGTCGTCGATAGTCGATGGGTTGTTAAGATTACCGATTACGGAGTTCTGAATACAGCTTTCAAAGACGATTCTCTATCCGACTATCAACTGTATACCCGTAAGAAATGTTAAATACATTTGATAGTTTTGTGTTGCGTTGCTTTGTCTTTCTCCATGAATCTTAATCACTTTTAGTTATAGTAAAAAAATGTGTGTGTGTGTTTTTTTTAAATTCACTTTCAATCTAAATTTGAGAAAACCTGCCAAATAATATGCACCCCAATATTTATTCTTTCGTGCTTGTTTACTATGTTTTGTTTTTTTGCAATTTTCGGCAATGATATAATGTATTTTATTCTATGTTGTGAAGTTTATATATGTTGTGTTGTAACGGTTTATTTTATGCAATGTTATCCTGCGTTGCTTTGTAGTATGTCGTGTTATGTTGTACCTTTGAAGACAGAGACTGTACTTTGAACTGTTTTTGCCTTTAACACTATGTATGTCTTACTTAGGACAATTATGGACCGCACCGGAGCTTTTACGTATGGCGAACCCCCCTGCTAAAGGCACACAAAAAGGAGATGTGTACAGCTTTGCGATTCTCGTGCAAGAAATTGTTTTCAGAAGCGAGCCATATTACCTCAATGAAGAAGAACCACAAGGTGAAACCCTTCTTCTTTTCAATATGCATGGTCACGTCTTCTTTGAAATATACATCTAATAAAACAGTATGCGCTCATATATTCTACCTCGTGAATGACGATTACAAGCAGACAAGCAAATGTTATAAAGCTAGCATGTGTTGGAATATATGGTACATGAATCAGGGGAAATTTTCTTATTTATAAAAAACAATTACTGAAACCTATTACATTACATAAATGTAAAGCAAATTTCCCCAATAAATTTAACTCATACCCGTTTAAATTCACACTTCGTGAAAATATACTATTTTATGTTACCACTCATAAGCAAACAACGGAATGAAACACAATTATTTGTGTTAATAAAATCGTTGTTAAGGATTTTTGCAGCTCTAATTGATAATCAAATTCTGTTAACACTTGTTACTTTTGACTGTTGACGTATCAAAGCCAACTGATCTTTAGTCAAACCACAATTGATAAATTGTTCATCCAGACTCGTTACATACATGCATTTCCTTTGGCCCGCAGTTGATACATTATCGGGAAAATGTGACCCACGTTTGCTGCTTGTGTGGCCCACACAAGGTACCAGTAAATTGTTAATTGCACTACTCATACATACATACATGCGCAGAATCCAAGTTACATACATGCGCAGAATCCAAGTTACATAAAAGAAAAGAAAAGAAAAGACTGTAATTGCCTTTACATTTCCTAGTGTCTTGGCATAACCTAACTATAACCAACTGTTATTTTTCACTTGAAACTAATGGGTTTTAATAAGCATTGCACCAATCACGAGATTTACGTCATAAATAATCTAGTTACGTTGTGTGGTAATAATGCATCATTGTATCTAACAGACATAATAGAACGTGTAACAAAGTTGGAGAACCCTCCATACAGACCGTACTTGCCACACGATATAGACGCGTCATCGGCAGAAGTTATACCGTTAGTACTTAAGTGCTGGTCAGAAGATCCCCAGGAAAGACCCGACTTTACTCAAATACGCAAAACGGCACATATCCTGAATAAAGGAAGGTTTGTATTGTATTGTGCCCGTTGCATATTTATTACATATACTGTTGTGCATTTAGTATAGACTGTTAAATTTGCGATTCTGAACCGCAATTGTTTGTGGAATTCCATTCATTTTTATATCTCTATATATTTGCAGACGCGCACATATTTTGGATAACATGATTGAAATGATGGAGAAATACACAAGTAATTTGGAAGAAATCGTAGCTGAGCGAACAGACGAATTAATTCGAGAAAAAAAGAAAACAGATATGCTGCTTTATAAATTGTTGCCAATGTATGTATCAACAAACACTTGTTACGGTTTGTTGGTTTGTCCGTACTGAGAGGTCAATCAGATCGCGGATCGTTTTTCGAAAATATTATTTTCTTAAAATCGAATTGAAAACATGTATTCCCAGTGGAACACGTGGAATCATTGAATGTCCAGTTGTTGGTGTTGTGCATTTACACATGCTTTAGTACACACATGCAAGGCATACATGCCGTATAATATGGTGTTAGAACTAGCCATCTGGTTAGGCAGGATTGAATGCCCTGTAGGTCACCAATGATATATACGGGATACCGAGCTGTACTTCCAAAGCTGTATATAACAATGTTGTTAAGGGCAGGGTTATCTATAGATCAAAATGAAAATGTATTTGACTATGCACGCAATGACCTCATTGATAGGTCAGTCATTTGCTTTGTGCGATGTGTGTGTGTATTTTTATAATGTTTGAGTATGTAACTGCCAAAACATTTTTTTACGATAATTCATACCTTGATATTATCATAATGAATTTTCAAATAAAATTATTTACAAATGCTCAAACAAAGTGAACGTTAACCACATTGCTGGCTCTTTACTATCTAAATGTGCATTCTATTTTTTCGGCGTTACATCAATACGCAATATTATATCAACATACGATGTTGCTGCATATAATCTAGGGTAAAATCCATCTCTAAATTTAAATATTGCATCCGCTTCTTTGTTTGTTGTCCAGTGAACATCACATCAGCGGCAATCTGTTCATTTCTAACAGACATAGTTTGCTGCCATAAACGGAAACTGTGGTATTGAGAATTACGATATTCAAAAATACTAATTCATGACATAGCAAAATAGCCAAATTAAAACACACCTTATGACAGATTTAATCATCGCTTTCGATTTCAATTATTTTAGATCCGTGGCTGAACAGCTGAAGAGTGGCCAGTCAGTCTCAGCAGAAACGTTTGATTCGGTATCTTTGTTCTTTTCTGATATTGTTAGCTTTACAGAAATTGCTGCACAAAGCACCCCAATGCAGGTGAGAATCACATCACTTGTCACCAATCACCTTGATGCAATGAATAACCGACATTATTATACACATCTGTCACCCTTAACGCCATAAGAGTGCCGTAATTTTGCAGTATTTTATGGGGTATTTTCATCCAACCATATTAGGAAATGCGAATTCCAAATATGGAATGATTGCGCGCTTAAGCGTCCTCTAATAATAAAAACAAACATGGCTGCCACCAGGGTTTGACCGAACTTCACACAAAGAAGTTCGTTGATTCTGTTCTAAACATTTAGGATTTCGGCATTTCCATGATGTATCCTTAGAAGGAAAAGATGTATAATAATAATAAGGATATTACGAGG